CGCTACGGTTATTTGTTCACTTGACCGTGAAGGTACTATTTCATCGGTATGTCATTGTTTACCGATTTACGTGAGAATCTCGGTTCTTTATTGTATATTTCTCAAAACTCATTGATAGAATTAAACTATAGCCATTTGGTAAGTCTTAATAATTTGATAAGAATTTTATAATAATTTTATACTGTGTTTGTAATAATAATAATAATAATAACTATTTATTAAAAATTTCAAGCATCGGTTGATCAAATTTTGTTTCCAAACGAAGAAGAAGATATAACAGTTCTTGACATAGCAGAGGATCCAAGTACCTCTTTTCGTGTTAAATTTGAGGACCAGGACTGGGACCAACATTTATCGTATGTAAAAAAAGAATTTGTTTATTTGTTATTATTGGTTATGATTTACATTTATCATAATTTTCTAGTCGTCTTAAACCTCTTGGTCTTAATCTTTTGTTAAACACAAATTGTGGTGTGTTACAAGGACGAAAACGCGCAGAACAACATAGGAAAAATTCTAGCTTTCACATTCAAGCTAAGATAAAACCTGCAAGACAATGTTAGCCATAATCATATATAATTTATTCATGTCCTAATTCTATATAAATAACCTTTTTAAATTTATAATATAGCATGTTTATGCCGTCTTGGTAAAGAAATTGGATTTACCGATGATGCTCTACAATCTTTTATAAAAAGAAAAGAAATATTTGTAAATGCGCCATGTCATCCGTCATTAAAAGATCGCATAACAAAGGATCAATGGGAAGTTCCTAGCATGAATTCCTCGATTTACGAAGAACTTAATTCAGGTACGTTTTTTTCTTTATCTTAATTAATTACCATTTATAAAATTTACAATTTTTGCATTTTGTTAGGAAGTTGCCAATTACTGTCTGATGGAAATTTGGAGATTATACTTGATAACTGTTCCGATTATTGGAATGGTCAAGGACTGCAACCCATGAGCGAAGTGGTCAGTTAATGATATAATTAAAGGTTTTCTTTTTTTCTAACATTTACACTTAATAATTTATTTAATATCTGTAGATTGAAAACAAGATTTATGATTTTTATCAAAATGCTATTATTAATGACATGCAATGTGTTGCATATGCATATCGTCCAATAAATGTTGTAAATGGAAATAAAATCCCATTTTTAAACTCGACTTCATCTGATTCAGGTGATACTTATATTGTATTGCCAAGTCCACAAGAGGCTGAACTTATGTCTGATTCCGAAGATTCCGAAGATCAGGATCTCTCCTTGTCTCAATTAGTTAGATTACATCGCCTGAAAAATGGCTTATTGGAAGCAAATCTCCATGATTTTTCATTTGACCAAGAGAACACAACTTCTCAGGATGAAGAGTTGTTTTATCAGGATGTTATTCAGGGACAGATTTTCCTGGCAATGGCAACACTTTGTCATCAGCCTAAACCAGTTAGTTTTTTTTTTTACATTAGAAATAAATTTAAAAATTTTGAAGTAAATGTTACAATGACTTTTATATATGCTAGGATGTATGCAATTTCATTGAAGATCTTAGATTAGCTGGTATTCGATTTGTTTATTTCTCATCTACTGCCGAAAGAGAAAGCAAAGGTTTGATAAGTTTTTAACCATTCCCCCGATTTAAACAAAATATGTTAATCATTTTAAATCACAAATTTAAAGCATATGCAGAAAGACTTGGCCTTGAGACAGATTGGAATACCTGTATTTTACTTTCTTCACCCGGTGATGAAAATTCTTTTGGAGATGGTTATTTGGAATCTCATGACATAAAAGCTCGTCTTCCACGTGGGATAGTTAATATAAGGGATCATTTAATGGTATCAAAATTTTAGGTTAGTTTTTTTTTCATTCTTCAGGATTTAGAAATTGATTAACGTTATATTTTAAAGGAGACAGACGATATTCCGCTGCAAGTATCCTTGTTTTCAGAATGTACACCTGAAACAACGCAAGAAATGATTAAAATATTCCAAGAATACGGAGAGGTTGTGTGTTGCGTTGGAAGTGCATTGAACGCTTTTAATACACATAGCTTTGCTGTGGTATGAATTTGATTGCACACACATATATAAAATGATTTTAGGTTTTTCATGCGTGATTTTTTGGGCCACATTCAGGCAGATGTAAGTGTTGCTATTGAACCTATGCACACACGTGCACAAACAAAGAATGGGCTATGTCACTTAGGTAAAGGGCGGTCTCCTATGGCTCTTGGTGCGGCGTTCACAACTTTGCCATGTG